GCTTTTAAGTGAGGGCTCGCTGGGAGCACCTGTGCATGTGCTTGTAGGGCAGGCTGGCAGGGAGCAGGTTGGTAGGGCAATTTTGTGGTTGTTGACCCCCCCCCCAATGTAAGTCTTTCTGTGAAGATCTACTTTGTCTAGGAGACTGTACCTTAGCAGTTGCCTGGGAAGTAATGCTTGATTAAAGGATTAAGCCAAGAGACTGATAGTTTATATTATGGAGATTTTTGACTATTAAGGAAGTAATATTGTGGAAAGATTATTTTATAGTTCAGGTTTTAAAATATAGGCAAAGGAAATGGTTGTTCAGTCTTTTCCTCTGAATTCACTGAACTGTCTGTACTTTAGTCTGTAGACTAGCAGGGGCCGCCTGTTGCTCTTGGACCACAGTTTGAGGCACACTGCCTTGCATAATAAAAAGGTAGTTGTTAAAGGCAGTAGGAAAAGTCAGTGTAATGTAAATGGTTTATTCTTTTACTCAACAAAAAATAACTGCCTTAAAAAACCCCCTCCTAATCAAAGGATAAAATAGCTTCTGAGAAAGGTAACTTTCTTGCTCCCATGGAACTGAAAATGCACGAGTGATATGCATTAAGCAGTTTATCATTTAGCTAATTATATGTGCCAGAAGAATCATATGGACATGCTGGGGTTGTATCTTAGTTGATAGAGAGTACTTGCGTAGTATGCATGAAGTTGCATACTCTAGCAATTAGGATTTGGTGGTTCAGAAAGTTCAAGGTCATCCTTGGCTGAAATAGTGAGTTTGGGATTGGGGTATAGGAGACACTAGAGAAAAAAAAAATATTTTTTTTTGAGCAAACTATATTTTAAAAAAGGTAAGATCATTGTATTTGAGAGTTTTAAAATTATTCTTTTATGGCTTTCTTTTCAATGAGCACTTACTACTTTCAACATTGGGGAAAATGAATTATGCTTTAAAAATATTTTATGCTATATTATAAATATCTGGATATAGTAGCATGTATAGATATCTTTGGATAGTAGAATATAAAGGGTTTAGACTGCATGAAGATTAAATAATTCCCTTTGAATTATGATCTCTATTTACAACTATGATCTACTCAAGATATAAGATCTTAATAAATAGGGATTTATTTAAAAGAAAGCCTAATATTAAGCAACACACTGTGAACAATGGGTAGTTTGTTTCTAGTTTCACTCAGAAATTCTTCGAAAGGTCACAGGCTAAAATGTTTGCTTCTGTGTACATTCTAAGGAGTTTCTAAAAGGCCTCTCAGACTCAAATGGGAAGTAGGAATGACATTACATTTCACTTAGTACATACAGGACAAAAGCCGAGAAGATAATCTTACAAGGAGGAAAAGCGTGCAACAGTTGTCTTTATATATCAGGAAACAAACACATTAAGAAAGTGTTTTCTGGGCTGGAGAATAGGCTGATTGGTTGAGAGCACTGGCTGCTGTTCCAGGTTCCAGAGGATCTAGTTTAGTTCCCAGCATCCATATGGCAGCTCATGACCATCTTTAAACTTCAGTTCCAGGGGATCTGACTTCCTTTTCTGGCCTCCAAGGACATTGCACAGACATACACATTATTATTAATTACTAATGCATTAAAAAAATACCCCTGAATATTGTAACTGATTATATTAAGCACACTCCCCCAGAGGATTCTGTGTTTTTGGTTACATATCACATACATAATAGTGCTTTATATAGTGCTTAATGAACTTAAAACTTGTGAAGTTTTATTTTCACTTTAACATCATTTTAAATATGCAGTTGGCAATCAAACAAAGTTATTCCTATAACAACGGTAAATGAAAAAGATAAGCCAACTGTAAATTGCTAAGCCAGGAAAAAAAGTACAGGATATGGCTAAGCTAATAGTATGTGAATCACTAAAGTTGGACAGAGTGGGTTAACAACCTGAAATTGAGCTCATACAGCAGGTGTTATGTAATTATCATTTAAAAAACAATATAGGTATTATAAAGACATCTGTAGGCAAAGTTATTAGCATGGAGCCAAACTAATTTTGCCAAAAATGAAAGTTTTACTTTCCCATGAATGTTTGAGCTTTAGTTTATTTAATTTTCCTGCTAGTCTGAATTTTCAGCTACCCAAATTTTTCAAACACATAAAGAAGCTTGGGTTCCTTCCTTCCTCCCTCCCTCCCTCCCTCCCTCCCTCCCTTCCTGTTTTTGAGACAGGGTTTCTCTGTGTAGCCCTGTCTGTCCCAGAACTCATTTTATAGACCAAGCTGGCCTTGATCTCATAGATCCATCTGCCTCTGCCTCCTGAATGCTGGGATTAACCATGTCCAGCAAGAAACCTTGATTCTTAAAGAACCTGTTTATACTTAATTCACAAATGAACCTATTTAAACCCATTTACCCAACCACTATTGAAGCTCCAAAAGCCAATTCCCAAATGTTGTTTCTAGATTCTTTAGATATCTACCACTCTGGCTGGAACCTGTTTCTTACTAACCTAAACTACAGTCATACTGTTTCCACAGAAAATGCTGACTCCTCTGTTTCCTTCTTTCCCTCTGTATACTCATTCAGTACAAACCCATCAGATAAAGCAGAGCAAGTTGCCATCTGTGTTCATTTGGGGAGGTGTCCGATGAGGATGAAAAGGCATTCTTGTGGAGGAAATAAGGCAATAAAATAGTGCCTACACTGGCAGGCTCAGTGGGACAAGGAGAGACTACTCTGCAGAGGAGGCCAGGAGTGGGGCATTGGTTCAATCAGGGAGGAAGGGGAATGGAGGCCATAGGATAACGAAATCCCACTGGGAAAGGATGGAGTTTATAAGAAAGATATCCCTACATGGGGGTCAGTACCTGAGTGGGTCCAGAAAGGGGTGGTGGGCTGTGTGAATCTTGTGTATGATGGAAGGGGGAGTGTATTAGCACAGAGTTTGAGCCAGGAGCATGAGCACATAGGGAAGAATATATAGCATAGGACAGGGTGTTCAAGTCTGAGCATGTTAAGGAGGAAAATAAAAGGGTGTAGGGGCTGGTAAGGTGACTGAGCAACAAAGGTGCTTGCCACCAAAGCTGATGACTTGAGTTGGATTCTCACAACCCACATGGTGAAGTTAATTTCATAAAGCCGAGAAAAATAAGGTGATTTCATGCTTTTGGAGTTCTCTTGGTTGCCTTCCTTTTTCTTACTTTATCTAATCCCATTTCATTTGCCTACTTTTTCCCCTATGGTCAATCTAGAGTTTAATTTCCACATTCTCTTCTCACTGTAGGCTGCTTCTTGGAATAACTGATTCTTAAGTTGGATAATTTAGAACTTTATTGTCTAGTGGAATTTGATAACTGCATCTTATACAGCTACTTAAAGTTAAATTTAAATAAAATCAAACATATGATTCCTTATCTGTGCTAATAACTATGTTACAGATGTTTACAATAGCCACATAGAGCTGGGTAGTGGCTGAGGTGCTGGTCATTGCTGATACAGAATATCATTGCAAAGAATTCTGTTATTGCTGATTTTTGGATGTGCCATAGTTCTTCAGACTTGACCATAGACCTGTTGGATGCAGTAGTGTAAATTCCTGTTTTGTTTCTAAATTGGCCTGTTGTGCTTTCATTGAGAATGTACTGCCATTTGGGAAATCTGTTACATTCATCAGGCTTTCTGCTTCCGTGGGTGCGTGCGTGCGTGCGTGCGTGCGTGCGTGCGTGCGTGCGTGTGTGTGTGTGTGTGTGTGTACATATATAGTCATACCATCCTAGTTTTGGGTTAAGTGGATCTTCTTTGTATATGCACACATGACTTAATAAAAACCTAGGCATATCATTTGTTTTTCTCATCTATACTTGGGCCACTTTCAAGTGGAGCTAGTTAGTCTCAGGTGTAGTTTTTACAGAGGAGCCTCCTTGGTTCTCTTTCAGCATTAGCAGGGTTTGATATGAACAGTCACTTGAGATCTGATGCTTATGTACAGAATTATGCTTGAGTTGAGTAGAGATTTATTTCTATGGAGTGTAATTGAGCTCATCCACAGGTCAGGATAAATGTGAGCCCTTCAAAGACTCTGTTTTCCTGTGAGATGAATTTCTTGGTTGTTTTGTTACTTCCTCAGTAGTATGGTTGGCTATCCCCCCCCCCCTTAAAAAATTACTTTTTGGGGGTGGTGGTGGGTTTTTAAATATTTTTTATTAATTTTTTATTGGTGTTTTACCTACATGTATGTTTGTGTGAGGGTGTCAGATCCTCTGGAACTGGAGTTACAGATGATTGTAAGCTGCCATGTGGGTGCTGGTATTGAACCTGGGTCTTCTGGAACAGCAGCCAGTGTTCTTAACTGCCTAGCCATATCTCTAGTCCCTGGTTGGGTATCTTAATTGGAGTCAGTTTTAACTCTGTTCCTGGTTTTACAGTTCGTTATATCTGAACAATTGGCTGCTGTTCTCTATTGACTAGAAGTTTTCCATTGACCAGAGGTTTAAAGCCTAGATTTCCTTGGTTTTTGTTTATCTGTTTGGTTTTGATTTTTGAGATAGGATTTCTCTGCATAGCCCTGGCTGTCCAGGAACTCACTCTGTAGATTGGGCTGGCCTTAAACTCAGAGATCCACCTCCTTCTGCCTACTTAGTGCTGGGATTAAATGCATGCATCACCATTGCCCAGCTGGTCTATAGGTCTTTAAGTGCTTGATTTCATTATGTACAGTAAAGGGTTATGTGTATTTGTTGCACAGTCACTTAGATAATTTGTAGCTCCAAGGACATAGCTCTGGTTCTGTGGGTTCTTCTTGGAAAGTATCTGGTAGAAGGTTTGATCTTGTAGATAGAGGTTTATGACTTCCAGAAAGAGAATCTAAAATTAAAATTGACAGATAATTTAGGATTTGCTCTAAATTCTATGTTGTATTGTAAACTAGAGGTAGCCATGGTTGATAAAGATTTCAAACCTAAAATGTAATTTTTCACTAAAAAGAATGTTTAGTAATTTTAAAGAGTAAAGTCTTAATATTTTTCCCTTTTAGCTTCCAATAAAAACAGGACAGCAAAATACACATACCAAAGTCAGCACTGAGCATAACAAGGAATGTCTGATCAACATTTCCAAATATAAGTTTTCTTTGGTCATAAGTGGCCTCACTACCATCTTGAAGAATGTTAACAATATGGTGAGTATTTGGATTACAACATTTTTGCTTTTTGGATAATTTGCTTTATTTTTATTCTGATTTGGAAGTTTAGAGCAGTATGTTTTAAATTATGGGAAATATTTTCCTAGGATTTAAGATGAGAGTCATTTCATTTTATGGTGAGTACAAGTATAACTTAAAATTTGACTTTTTTATCTTTTCCTTTGAAGCCTCTCTTATTACTCTATCTCATTTTTTAGCAGTTATAATTTTATATGACTTGTGTTGTGTGTAAACTGATTATAATATAAACTCCTTTCCCCCACCTCTCTTCCTTCCTAATCTATACCTCTAGCTGTGTAGTATAGAATCTGTTAATACACTTTTAGTTTGCTGCTTCCTTAAATGAGTTTGTTGTCTGTCCATATCCAAATTATGTGGTCTGTAAACTATGATCTTCACCCCTAAATTGTGGAATTAATTTCTTTTGCATTTTCAACTGTTTTATTTATTACTCTTAATAGAAACACAAAAGTTTTGACATTAACATTTTATGGTATGTGCTATAATTTAACAATTGTCTTCCTCTAGTGAATATGACAATGTAGTGCATTCCTTTGTTAGGATACCTTGTTTTAAATTTTCTAAGATTTTTTTTAAAAATTAATTTATTTTTTACATTCCAATCCCAGTTCCCCCCTCCTTCCTCTCCTCTTGCTCTCCCCCAGCACCTCCCATCTGCTCCTCAGAGAGGGTTAGGCCTCCCCTAGGAAGTCTAAGCCTGTCCCATCATCTTGTTGAGGCAGGACCAAGGCACTTCTCCATCTCCACAACTCTGTGTCTAGGCTGAGCAAGGTATCTCTCCATATGGAATGGGCTCCACTAAGTCAGTTTGTGCATTAGTGTTCAATCTTGGATCCATTACCAGTAGCCTCATTTATTTCCCAGTCGCACCATTGTCACCTATATTAAGAAAGTCTAGTTCATTCTTATTCATGTTACCCAGTGGGATTAATTTTGATGACCATATTGACAAGTTTTCTCTCCCCTTCCAATAACCTACCTGTAACAGGTTCGATAGTAGTTAGAGAACCAGTGTTAGAACAACTGTCCTCAGTTTCTCAGCTGATTTCATCAAGAGATTCCACTATTGAAAGCTCATGATCCTCCTTCCTTTCTATCCTTCCCACCCCATGACTGGAATGTACTCTCTCTCACCAGTCTACCTCTACTTTAAACATTAGTATCTCTTACCTCTCTCAGGTACCTCCCTCCCTCTAACAGTTTCTACAATCTACTTCATACCCATCCAAACAGATGTCCATTTTTCTTAACTCTAAATTTTCTGCTTCTCTCTAGTACTTGTGGTCTCAACTTGTGTTCTTTGTGCTGTGCTGTGAAACAACCTGTAGTTGTAGATTATGAGGAGTAGCTCCATTGTTTTATAGTCACATCACCCTTGCAGACATTCCTTTTAAGAAAGTTGGTTAGTGCCGGGTGTTGGTGGTGCACACCTTTAGTCCCAGCACTGGGGAAGCAGAGGCAGGCAGATCTCTGTGAGTTCGAGTCTAGCCTGATCTACAGAGCTAGTTCCAGGACAGGCTCCATAGCTACAGAGAAACCCTGTCTCGAAAAACCAAAAAAAAAAAAAAAAAAAAAAAAGTTGGCTAGTATCAGAGTTGTAGAACTGATGGATTGAAGCTATGAGCAGTCTAATAAATTATTTTCTTCATTTTTTAAAAAAAATCCTCCCCTAAAATCAGGACCTTTTATAAAAAAGGTAAAGTTATTTATATGATACATTTAATATTGTGCTGTAGTTCTTTTTTGCCCACTGTGGAACACAGTGATAGAATTTTTTATGTATGAGAATATGGCTGCATTCCCAGTTATATCGCAAGTATTTTTGTATTTGGGATCGTTTTTAAAACTGTTACGATGTTGGCATTTATTTAGATCTTACTGAGAAGTTGTAGGGCTTATGAGATAGATGGCTCATCTGGTTGAAGGTGAGAACCAACCCCCAAAATTTGTCTGTTCTTTGACCTCCACATGGGCATGTGGTAAGCCCATACTCATACTAGCATATGCCCCCTACACACAATAACAAATAAAATGTAGAAAATACTTAATTAATCAAAAAAAATTTTTGAGGCAGAGATTCTCTATGTTGACCTGGCTGTCCTGGAATTTATTCTGTAGACTAAGCTGCCCTTGTAGTCAGAGATCTGCCTGCCTCTGCTTCCCAAGTGCTGGGATTAAAGGTGTATGTATGATACCACCACCCAGCAAAAATAGAAAATTTTTTCCCCCCTGAGTTTTTCTGTGTAGCTTTGGAGCCTGTCCTGGAACATACTCTGTAAGCCAGTTTGGTCTCGAACTCACAGAGATCTGCTTGCCTCCGCCTCTCAAGTGCTGGGGCCAAATAAAGGCATGTGCCACCACTGCCTGGCAGGTAAAAATACAAAAATTTTAAAGGAAAAATTACACTATGAAAGCCACAGTCTCTTGTTAGTAAGTAAATAGATGATATAGCATTCAATTTGAAAGTAGTAAATTGTTAAGATTCACTGTTATTGGTATAGTAGCATTCCATTTTGATAAGAATTAAGAAATTAGTTGTTTTGTAGTAGGAAGGAATGCTTAAATGCTTAATGTAAGACTGTACAGACTTCTCTCATAAGTTATTTTTAATCCTCATTGGTTCATCACCAACAACCCACTCCTTCATCCCCTTCCTTTTTCCTTCTATGTCTGTGACTCCCCATCCTCCCACCATGTAGCCCTGGACTGTCCTTGAATTTGTTATATACTTTGGACTAACCTTGATCTTCTAATCCTCTTGCCACTATTTCCATAGTGGTGGGATTACCAGTGTTTTCCCACCGTGACTGGCCAAGTCATAGTTATTCTAAAAACCAAGCAGCACATTTTACTCTTATATGGCTAATGGCAGGCTTTAGTAAACCCCTCTATTTCTGTTCATCAGGAATTGTTTTCGGGTATTAAGGTAAAGTAAGAAATAATAGACTTAAATATCATTGTATATAGAAGAAAAAAATTGGAAGATTAATACTTTTTCTTGATTAGTAGTTTTTTCTTTTCCCTCCTGAGAAAGGGTTTCTCTGTGTTGCTCTAGTTGTCCTGGGACTAGTTCTGTAGGCCAGTATGGCCTCTTACTCACAGAGATCCACCTGCCACTCACTGCTGAGATTAAAGGCGAGTGCCACCACTCTCTGGCTAATCTTTAGTCTTTTATATTTCATATGTGCTAATTTGTAGTGGAGAGTGTTAATCAAATTCTCTGAATATATTTTTCTTTTAGAGGATATTTGGAGAAGCTGCTGAAAAAAATTTGTATCTCTCTCAGTTGATTATATTGGATACACTGGAAAAATGTCTTGCTGGGGTGAGTAAACTCATTCTAAAGTAAGCAGGTTCTGTGAGCTCAGTCTTGAGAAGGAACCGAAGAACCAAAAGGTCAGTATGGACACTGAGGACCGGCAAAGAATATCTGTCTAAGGTAGATGATTATAAATTTCATTAATACAGTTGACCTTGTGCTGCAGAATTTAGGAAAAAATATTTTATCAACTTTGGTAAACTACATAGATATTTAAGTTTACTTAAAATGTTAAGTTTGAGCCCCGTTTCTAAGTTTTTTTTAAAGAAAAGATTTTTATGAAGAAATCACTATTTGATTAATTTCTCAGATATTATTAGCCTTCTGGCATTGTGCAACTGGAAGAATGAGATTCAGAAGACCAAGGACATTCTTATTTTCTGTCTATCACGAATATGGTTTCTACTTTACACAGACCTTGAAAATAGAATGTGTCTTTTTAAAAAATATATGTTAGAGTTCTCTTCAGTGGGGGAAGAGATGTGAAAAAATTTTTAGATACTTTATGTGGAGGAGTGCTTTGCCTGCTTGTGTGTATGTGTACAATGCATGGGTCTGGTACCTGTAGAGCCAGAAGAGGGCATTAGCTCTCTCTGATTGGAATTACTGCTGTTTGTGAACTACCATGTGGATGCTGAGAGAGCTGAGTTCAGGTTCTCTGCAAGAGCAATAAGTGCTCTAACCATTGGGCAGTCTCTCTAGCCTCAAGAAGGAAGAGATTTAATAGAGGCCTGACTGTGTGGTTGAGAAGAAAAAGAATGTTTAGAAGTGGCAGGGATTAGGCAAGAAATCAGGGAAAAAACAAACTTCACATTCAAAAACTTCTAAGGGAAGTCTGTGGGCCAGGAAAAAAAAAAAAAGAATTCATTTTTTTTTTATTTTTAATTATGCGTATGTGTGTTTGCATGTGGATCTCTGAGTGTGGGTATACTCAGATATCACAGACTTTGGTTATAGGTGATTGTGACCCAGCCAGCATGGGTGCTGGGAACTGAGCTCAGGCCCTTTTTGAGTACAGTAGATTCTCCCAACCTCTGAGCCAAATGTTGAGTGTTGGCTGCCATGCATGTATGCCATGGTACACCTGTGGAGGTCAGAGGACAACTTTTACGTGGGTTTTAGGGATTGAACTGAGGTGACTAGGCTTGTACAACAAGCCCTCTATTATTCATGAAGCCATCTTGCTAGCTCAGCATAATATTTCCAACCCTTTAAAATTTATTTTATGTGTGTATGTGTGTTTTATCTGCATGTTTGTATGTTTGTATGCGTATCATGTGCATGCCTGGTGCCTGAGGAGGTCAAAAGAGATCCTTGTGACCATAGTTACAGATGGTTGTGAGCTACCATGTGGGTGCTGATAACTGAACATGGGTCCTCTATGAACAAGTGCCCTTCACCACCCAGCCATCTCTCCAGCCCTAACACTTTAAACTCTTATTGATCTCTGAGCATATTCCAAAATTGTTGGGCAGTATTTGTAAATATTGCACTTACAATTATAAGAATTGTTTTATCTTGGTGTCAGATGTGTGGGTGTTCTTTCTATTTCAGTTCCTGATTGCAGTTCAGTTAAACTTTTAGACTTATGTGATTATTTCCATTTCAGCAACCAAAGGACACAATGAGATTAGATGAAACAATGCTGGTCAAACAGTTACTACCAGAAATTTGCCATTTTCTTCACACCTGTCGTGAGGGAAACCAACATGCGGCTGAACTTCGGAATTCTGCTTCTGGGGTTTTATTTTCTCTTAGCTGCAACAACTTCAATGCAGTCTTTAGTCGAATTTCTACCAGGTTAGTGTATCAATCATGTGGGGCTATTAAGTAAAATAAATTGTAGAATTATCATTTGCATAAAAATAGTTAATAGAATAACTTTTATCTGGGCTTTTGTAGGAGTTTTATGTATTAATTTTCTTGACATTTTGATTATATTATTTTGAAAATAATGTTGGAAACACTGATGTGTGGTTATGAGTACTGTGACAGACTTGGAGAAAATGCTTCCCATGACCAGGCCCTTTCTCTTTCCTTCTTGCAGTGCTGAGGATTTAATTTAGAGCTCCATCCCCAGCCCTGGTTTGGTGTTTTAAACATTTATTTAGATAGAAATCAGGTAGAGTAGTTGAGAAGTATAATGAGGATTCTAATGATCTAATTCTCATGGCTATGCAATCATAAGATCCCAAGTTACTTTAAAAACAACCCAGACAATATAGAAATAAAAGAAAGTAATTGCAAAGTAGAATTCTCTGAAAAGTGGACTGTGTTTTAAGTGTGTATGAAAGTCCCATTTATTGAGTATTCACAGTATATGCTATTTTGCTTTTATTCTTACAATGATGTTGAAATGTAGTTACAGGCAAATAGATTAATACTACTCAAAGTTAAGATATTGTGCTGGTGTGGTAGCTCACAACTTTAAAATTCCAGCACTTGGGAGGCAAAGGCAGGAGGATCTTAATGAGTTCAAGGCCAGCCTTTACATAGTGAGTTCAAAGCCAGCCAGTGCTACACAGTGAGACTTTGTCTTAAAAAACAAAACAAAAATCTCCTACATACAACCAAACAAAAAAGTTAAGGAATTGTGTCAAATAATGGAAGGCCCCAAATTTCCAAGCCAGGTAGGCCCTCAGAATCTACATTAGTTTCAGTATATCAGTTATTTTCAATATTTCCATTTTAACTGTATTTTGTGACATTTTAAAATACTATATAGTTAATGCAGCACTTTAAAAAATGTAAGGGGCAGAAGATATGGCTTAGTGGTTAAGAACATGTGGTACTCTTGCAGAGAACCTGTGTTTGGTTCCCAGTACCCACCTGGTTGGCTCACAACTGTCTAGTTACAGATAATTCAACACCCGCTCTAGACACTACCAACACATGTGGTATGTATACTTACATTAGGCACCCATATGCATAAAATAAAAAACAAACTTTAAATAACATTATTTAAATAGAACAAAAGAAAAAATGTGTTGGGTTGGGGAATTTGCTTGGTGTAGGTAAAGATGCTTGCTGAGCAAGCCTCTTGGACATGGGTTCTATCCCTGGGCCCATGTAAAAGTGGGAAAGAACCAACACCACACTGTAGTTGTCTGACGTTTACACTCACACCATGGTACACATGTATCCCCTCTTTTACACATACAATGAATTTAAAAATGAATTGTAGAAAAAAATGAAATAAAGAATGAATAAAGTTTAAATCTTTCTTGATTAGTCAAAATCATAATTGTGATATTTTAAACAGGGAATTTTTGTTCAGAATGGTACTCAGTGAGATGAAATTTTAAAGTAATTGTAACTTGCTTTCATGAAAATGATTTGCCTTTCTTGTACAAGTACTGTCAAATGGGCTCTTAGTTATGATCAAATAAAGGTATAACACATCCCATTTAGTGATTTAATGACTAAAAGACAAACAGATAAAGCAATGCTTTTGAGCCTTGTTTCCTTTACCTTTGACTTGTTAGTGTTATGCCAACATGGGTTTCTATTGCGTTCACTCTTGTTTCCCAGCAAGGTGAATAAGAATGTGCATCAAATTTTGAGAATTTTTGGTTCAGTGTTGAAGAACTGATTTGCAATCTTTTAATAAAAAACATTCTATAATCATGATGACAATATTCTGTATTCTGCAATCTTAACAGTCTATTAAAAGGAAATTAAAATTTTGTGTAATGATATATTATTGGTTATTGTTTATGTGACAAAACAACATTCCCATGGAGTTTTTTAAGTAAATACATTTTTATATTCTGGGTTGCTATATGCTGATGGAGTCAGCAAGGTGACAAAAAGGGAAATAGGATGCTGGAAAGTTATAGAAAGTAAAAACCCTTTCAATTAGGGAACTACTAGATAGATTAGCTTTACTATCCGGAAAAAAAAAATTAAAAAAAAAAAAAACGAAGATAGAAAACAATAATGAAAAATACAGTTTCTTAGTCTATGCAGGAATTGTTCATGACAGAACAACATTTCCATGAAGTGTTTTGTTGTTGTTGTCCTGGACAGCCCTAGCTGTCCTGGAACTTGCTCTGTAGATCAGACTGGCCTTGAACTCACAGAGATCTGTCTGCCTCTGCCTCGTGAGTACTGGGATTAAAGGCATGGGCCACCACCACCCAGCCTCCATGGATTTTTTTGTTTTTGTTTTGTTTTTCCGGATGGGTTCTCTGTGTAATCACTCTAACTGTCCTGGAACTTACTCTGTAAACCAGGTTGGCCTCGAACTCACATAGATGTGCCTGCCTCTGCCTCCCAAGTGCTGGGATTAAAGGCATACACCATTACCACCTGGCCTCCATGAAGTTTTTAAGTATATTGTTCTCTAAAATAGAGCAAATGTACCATCTTTGAAAACCCTAAAGTCACTCAAGGCTTCTTCCATGGGATTGGTATTGGGTAGCATTAGTTCATTGATAGACCATTTTTGTTGATTTTCCAAGTCTAGGTCATTGTTCATTGCCAGAATAGAAATTGTGTCTAGAGTTTTATTGGCTTTGGGGACAGATCAGCCAGAAATGGGATCTATGAAGTAAATATGTTTCATAGAACTACTATATATGTGTTTTCATTTAGCATAAAAAATAGGAGCTGTTCTTCTTAGAGGACCACTAACCTAACAGACCATTGTACTGTGATGGCTTAGTTTAGATGAGGGACATCTTATGATGGTATAACTGGGTGGCCAATAGTTGTTCTGAAGGTTGTGTTTTATTTTCATTTATAACGAGCATCATGAAAGTAAGTTGAGCTTCACCAGCCTCCTTGTCCACAGTGTCCTTCTTTATGTGGGTAGATGGTGGTATTGGAGATTGAACTTTAGATGCTCTACCACTGTTCAGGCTGGCATGGAACTCACTTTGTAGCTCAGGCTATCCTCGAACTATATTGTCCTCTCTCAGCTTTTTCCGTAGCTGTGATTACAGACCTATATCAATAAACACAACTTGTTTAGTTTTTGTTTGATTAATTGAAAATTTGTAGCAAAGCTTTATTCAGCTAAAGGGTCTCATGTTCTAGGCTTATTATGTTCTTTACAAAAGATTTATTTTTATTATTTTTTTATGTGTATCTGTTTATGTATGTCTTTTGTATGTCAATGCTTGTGGAGCCCAGAAGATGGTGTTGGATTCCCTGAAGCGGGGTTCACAAGTGGTTGTGAGCTACTGTGTGGATGCTAGGAATTGAACTTGAGTTCTTTGGAAGAGTAGCAAGTGTTCTTAACTACTGAGCCATCCATTTCTCTAGCCCCATTGTACTTCCTTATGTAGAAGATTAGTTAGTTTCTTTGCAGAATTGACCATTTATAATACTTAGTTTGGCATTTTTTTTTTCTTCCAGAGAGCAGTCTCCTATGTAATCAATTGTCAGATTAGATATTCTCCACATTATCCAACATTTCCCATAAAACTTTTACTTAGCTGTTAATCCTTGGATCCATTATTAACTGGAAACTGCAAATGATAAACCTTCTACTTTTTTGGGGGGGCTCTGGGAACTTTTTTTTTGAGCAGGGTCTCACTGTGTAGCCTTGGCTGGCCTGGAACTCATAAGATTGCCTGTCTCTACCTCTAGAATGTTGAGATTTAAGGTTGTGTGCTACCATATCTGGCTTGGTTCTATCATTCTTTATTTTTAAATTGGACTTACTGTATTTATTTATTTATTTATTGGTTTTGTGATTGTGAGAATTAAACTCAAGGCCCTTTGCATTAAATTATGCTTTCTCTTTATTATTATTATTTTTTTCTCTTTGCCCTCCATCCCTCTCTCCTGAGATAAGATTTTACGCTGTAGCCCAAACTCACAGTCATAACTCCTGTTTCAGTAGTTGGATGATGGGCATGAGCCACTTACTGTGCCTGGCTAAATTTGTGATTCCTGTAAAATGTTTTATCCTTTGTTATTTACACTATTTTTTTTTGTAATATGATCTAAATAGGGAATGTAAAAAGAGGTGTTCTACCATTATTTCTTTTTAGAATGACGTGACTTTAAAATTTTGAAAAGATTACCTATTGAATTTCTTCCCTCAGTAATTACTGTATTTTTTTTTTTTTTAAACTGTGTGTTTCAGTTATAGAATAATATAGAGGCAGGCAGGGGTAAGATGGTTCAGCATGTGAAGGTGCATGCTGCCAGCCTGATGGCCTGAGTTCAGTCCTGGGACCTGTATGGTGGAAGGAAAGGGCCAGTTCTTACAGTTTGTTTTCTGACTTCTAGTACAAGAACACACACACAATAAATAATGTAATTTAAAATAAAGAAAGAAAATTTGATGGTCAAATTGTCCCAGTTTTGACATTGGAGACTCCAGTTGTATAGCCATATGATTTTTTTTTTTTTTTTGACATGACTATAGTAGTTGCTAATTTCCTTGTGTTCAATTTCAGGGAGACTTAAGACACATTTGGAAATGTGTTCCAATCTTGAAATACTAATTTTTCCAAAAGAGCTGTGGCTAATGTGAAAAATAGAATTCAGACCTCCGTCTTAAATATATGGATTTGAAATTTACTGGAATACCATTGTTTTGTCATGTTCCTTAAATTGCTTGTATTGTTTGTTTTTTTAAAAAATAAGTATGTTCTTACTTAAAAAAATAAGTATGTCTTTATTCATAAACCCCTCTTCTATTGAATCAGAATCTTGGACTGTTCTAAGACTTAAATTAGTAAATTATTTTTGATTTTTACCTTTCAGGTTACAGGAGTTGACTGTTTGTTCAGAAGACAATGTTGATGTCCATGACATAGAATTGTTACAGTATATTAATGTGGATTGTGCAAAATTAAAACGACTCCTGAAGGGTAGGTTTAAATGTCTAATATATCTGTAATTAACATAATTAATCTCAGTAATGTTAATATAGTAATTCAGTTTGAACTGGATATCAAAATAGATTTTATAGTGTGAAATGGCCAGTAATGCACATAGGTGACTGATTTTTTTTGGACTTTGGAAAATAATGCAGTAGATAACATGGATTTTATCTTATTTTTGAGATAGGCTCTCTTTGTTTATCCCTATCAGTCCTGGAACTCATTCTGTAGATCAGGCTGACCTCAAACTCAGAGATCACTTGCCTCTGCCTTCTGAGTGGTGGAATTAAGAGTACGTATCACTGTGCTTGGCTGAGAACATGGTTTTTCACATTTTAGCAATCTAGAGCTACAGTTTTTGCTTTTGATAAACAAATTTGTGTCTTTTTGGAATTTGATCCCTTAAGATGACTCTAGGTCATAGATGTTACCCATTCAGCTTTCCTGTGTTTGAAGAACATTGTTTTGAGCTGGTGAAGTGGTACATGCTTGTAATCCCAGCGCTTGGGTTGCTGAGGAAGGATAGTTCAAGACCATTGTAAACTATGTAGATTTCAAGTCATAATGGACTATAGAGTAAGACACAATCTCCAGAAACAAAACAAACAGCTCCCTCCCCCAACAAAAGCATTAAAATATCAAACAGTGATATTAATTTCCAACCTAAGAGATTGAACTTGAGTTATGTAAGCCATGAGAATTTTAATAGTTGTTTAACAGTTTTCAAAATGCTTAATATTTTTAAAAAAGTAGTATTAAGCTAGGTGTAGTTATGTACGCCTTTAATCCCAGTATTTGGGAGGCAGAGACAGGTGAATCTCTGTGAGTCCGAGGCCAGCCTAGTCTACAGAGTGAGTTCCAGGCCAGCAAAGGCTATGTAGTGAGACCTTGTCTTGAAACAAACCCAAAACTATTATTGTATACAGGTGTGTGAGGACTTGTGTGTTACAGTGTTCCTGTGGAAGTCAGAGGTCAACTTTGGAAATGGTTCTTTCCTTCCACTGTGGGTTCAGGGAATCGAACTCTAGCAGGCTTGTGTAGCAAGTGCTTCTATACTGAGCAATCTTGCTGACCCTTTGTATTCTTAACTTTTGGCTTTTTTAGAATATATCTATGTAGGGCCAATAATGTAAAATTCTGTTCTATCACTATTCTTTGTTCAGACTTATTATTTGCTTTTCTTTTTTATGTAGAACCTAATTGTGTGCATAGAAGAGTGAGTGTCTAGTAAGAGTATTGTGAGGGAAGGATGAGATTTTAAAGGAGGTGGGAAATGTTGTTACTGACTACATGTAATAAGAAGGGTGAAAGAGGACTCATTGGGGGAGAAGAAACCATCTGGAGAAGTACAAGGGTAGTGAATGAGAAAATATAGGTATGAAGATGACACATTGAAACCCATTACTTGTATGCTAACCCTAAAGATTAATGTTAAAAAAGAATTTATGGAGCTGGAGAAATGGCGAAAAACCAAACAAAACAAAGAAGTAGTTATGATTTATGTCCAGGGATGTACTTCAATGGTATAATGTTTATATGAAATGAACAAAGCTGTAGGTTTGATTCCTAACATTATGAAAAATGTGATTTCAGATACTATTATTATTAAAAAATCAAGTGATTATTTAATTAGTTTTATTCACACTGTGCCTTCTCAGTTAAACCTGTTTGGAAACTCACTCACAGACATGCCCAGACTAAAATCCATTCAGATTAACAATGAAGATTAGCCATAACAGTGACATTTTGGAAATAAATCTAGTTAGTCCAAGCTACCCATGAATTAAGGGTTTGGTTAAAAACAGTTTTCTTAATGATGCTCAATCTACAATAATTGAGATGGTTCTCCATGTCTAAGTAAGATAAGAGTGACTTAATTTATATTGAGGCAACTTTTTCTGGTTTCAAAGAAAGGTTTCATTTTTACTATTTTATGTGTTTATGTATATATCTATATGCATGTTTGTGTATGTGCTTGTGGACTACAAAAGAGGGTGTTAAATCCCCTGGAGCTGGAGTTAAAGGCTGTTGTGAGCTGCCACAATAGGTTCTGGGAAGCAAACTCAGGTCTTTACAATATCAACTTGCATCCTAACCACTGAGCCATTTCTCTAGCCCCATATTTCTCATATTGAATGCTCACATTTCTGTGAGCATGGGTTTAGAATATATACAAAGATAAGTTTATAAAACATGAAGCCAATGTTAATTAGCTCATTGAAAGTACGGGGTGGACAGTTGGCTCAGTGGTTAAGAGCACTAACTGCTCTCAGAAGACCCTGGTTTAGCTTCCAACATCCATATGATGGCTCATGGCCATCCATCTTTAACGTTACATGGATTCCAGTGTCCACTTACAGTTTCTTTCTTTTTTCTTTTTTTAATTTAATTTTATATAACAAAGTCCAATTAAATGAAAACAAACATTTATATACAATATTTGGGAATTTGGGCGTCGTTCTTTCCAAACTACTTCCTGCTGGTAAGGGGTGCTGTCTTGGGGGATTCAAAGAAGATTCAGATATCCTAGCTGTAGTCTGTAGGGCTGTTTTGTCCAGATGTTTTGAATGTAGGATCAGCTTGTACTCTGTTTCAGGCAGTCTGGCATGATCAAACCACATTAGTCTGGAAGGAATCCACATCTTTTCATTTTCTGTGGAAACAAAAATAGAAATCCTTTTCCCCAGTAACTTGTTCTTCACCACTTACAGTTTCTTAAGGCACCAGGCATGTATGTGATGTGCTTTCATGCATGAAAAGTAAATTTTTAAAGGTTAGCTCTAGGTGACAATAACAAATAGAAAATTTCTGTGGTCAATAATTATAGTAATAGTGTGTCTTAAATTCACCTCAACAATAATTTGTTGAGACACTGCATGTAATAAACCATATTAATTTTTTGGAAGTTGACAGGTTAATAAAATTTTGAGTATGTCCATAAAAAGCTTATGCTTTGGTGGTCGTGTTTTCTCTAGAAACCAATCCGCAGTGTGGATTAGCAGAGAATTGAGTGACATGAGCTTCTGCCATGGTGATGAGGATATGTGGGAGTGGTAGAAGTCTTCATAGAGTGGGTGATAGGGGAATCAGTGTGATAGGGATTTTGAGGTATAATCATAACATTTGGTTAGGATATGAAGCATTTGGCAATAATTTTAAATACACAAAATTATATTTAAGAATCATAAAATACTACAGAGCATTTAATTAAAGCAGAAAAGAGAAAGGATTGATGACAGAGAACAGAATGGCCAGCTAAGTGATAAATGGAGCTTTAGATCTACTGAGTCTTGGGTATCAGTAAGCTATCCAATAAGGAATTAAAACACATGGCTAGAGAAGTAGCTCAGTCAGTAGAGTGCTTGCCTACTCTGCCTAAAGCCTAGATTCAATCCCCAGTACCATGTAAACTGTGCTTGATAGTACATGTCTGTAGTCCTGGCACTTCAGGGGTAGAGGCAAGAGGACTAGAAGTCCAAGTTCATCCTTGTATCTTCATTTGTACAAGGGACTAAATGGAGGCTTTAGCCTGAGATGGAACTCCATCTCAAAAACAAAACAAAATGGACAAACAACAAAAACCAAAACTAAACAAACTAAAAACCCAAAAAACAAAGCAAAACAAATTGTAGAACAGAAGTAATTAAGTATGCATATATTAGGATTGAGACTAGATTATTTATACATTGATAATATTTGAAGGGTAAAGCTGATGAATGAAGATAAAAGAACTAAAGAAAGAAGTCATGCCATTGATGTCATATCAAAGACATAGTAAAATAAAGAAAAGCTGATTTGGGGAATAAGTTTGTTACCCATTTGTATTTGTAATCCCCCATCCTCATTTGTATTTCTAGAAAAAGAAAGTCACAGTTAAAAGATACGTACTAGAGGACTCATTTCTACTTTAGAAATATTCTATGTAAATGTAATAAAACCTAATATCCCTTCTTTAAAAGTCTTTGGGAGAAGTTTTGGTTTGCTTTGCTAAGAGACTATTAGATTAGAGTGGGCTGTAGAAGGTTCATCATCTCCAGATAAAAATTTCTTTTTAAATGTGGACAATAAATTTATAAATGTTGAACTTAAAATGTATCCATGTCATTTATATGGAGATATAATTAATCTTGTACTAACAATGCAGTCCTGAATGTACCTGGAGCCTGAGTCTGAGGATGCTCTCTTTCAGGGGTAATTCATAGCTGGCAACCTATGCTACCACTGATGTAACCAGTTGTGATCCTCACTTGCCTGAAACATCTCAAGTTTTTTAAAGTCTTGGTGTATATGTGAGGGAGGGGGGCACTTTGGAAATCAAAAGATGAAAGGGTACCTGAAAAGAGAGAGGATCCACGAAGAAGAGAGAACATAGCTTCAGCTGTGCAGGTCCCCAGCAGAGGGAGGGGAAGCAGAAGTGGCTTCCAAGAATGCATTGTTTTCTCTGTCTAGTGCTACTGTGGACCAAGCCTTCAAGAGTAGGCTGGTCTGGAAGAAAATCCTCCCCCGATAAACAGAAGAGAGGTACGTTTTATAACACAGAAATGAAAGAAACATGCATTTGATTTCTTCAAAAGTAGGGCAGTATGACTCCTTGAAAAGATTATATATCCCCATCCATTGGATTCAAAGATGCTAACATGGGAAAATACCACATGATGAATTTAAGTTTTCTAGTAAAAATTACCAGTGATATGAAAGAGTACAAATAAGCAGATGAGTTTAATTCAGGACCTGGAGAGGAAAGTTGGAAACATATAAAAGCCAGCAGAATATATAAGAAAGGACAACCAGCCTGCAGGCCACAACCCTCAAGAACCTAGGTAACAAAGAGGACCCTAAGAGAGACAGACATACATGGATCTGCCTAGGAAGGGGAAAAAGACAAAACCTGAGTAAATTGGTGTAGGGGGCAGGGAAGAAGGGAGATGGGAGGAGGTAAGGGGAGTGGGGAAAAACGTATAACTCAATAAAAAAAATACCATAATAAA